CAACACAAATATGAATCACCGGCCATATCTGACGGAAAGTATTTAACCGCTGATGACTAGCTAAAGTGTTACGCCCGATTGAGCTCCGATTTACAAACGATAAAATCGATTGTATTTCAGCATTTTTATCACCGACCCAACCCCGTTTGGGTTTGCTTTCTGTCACCGCTGGCCGTTTACACAGAAAACCAGAAATAAAATCACGCATGGCAACCGATCATAACAGCGAGTAAGTTTAAAATTAAATGACCGATTGGGGACCGACCGTCTGTGTAACTGGCCCTTATCTTATGTAATAGAAAGAGCACCGAAACACGACGCTATCTGATTTGCACGAGGACGCGTAGCCCCTGAGTATAAATCAGATTGCAGAGTGTTTTGGTGTTCTTTCTCTTTTGTATCATAGTCAAACATAAAAACACGTTCCCTGCTGTCACAATATGAAACCCCGGCAAAAATGAACCAATGAACGAGCATCTGAATATGATATTTCTATCGCTTTCCCATTCTCTTCCGTCACAATATGTAAACCCCAGCAAAAATAAACCAATCAATGTGCACGCTCTTGAGTGCGGGTAACTAATACCTGCACTCCAGTTAACGCACTGTACATGTATATGTATACGATTTAACTCTGACACATTTTCAACAGAAAAGTCCCCAAACTATAATACAAGTAATAGAAAGAGCACCGGAACACGAGGCTATCTGATTTGTACGAGTGGGCGTAGCCCCCGAGTATTAATCAGATTGCCGAGTGTGTTGGTGTTCTTTCTCTTTTGTATCATAGTCAAACATAAAAGCACGTTCCCTGTTGTCAAAATATGAAATCCCGGCAAAAATGAACCAATGAACGAACATCTGAATATGACAATTCTGTCGCTTTCCCTTTCTCTGCCGTCACAATATGTAAACCCCAGCAAAAATGAGCCAATCAATGGGCATGCTCTGGAGTGCGGGTAACTAATACCCGCACTCCAGTTAACGCACTGTGCATGTATATGTATACGATTTAACCCTGACACATTTTCAACAGAAAGGTCTCCAAACTATGATAAAATTCTCTTTTGTATCATAGTCAAACAAAAACACACGTTCCCTGTTGTCACAATATGAAACCCCGGAGAAAAGTAACCAATGAACGAGCATCTAAATATGAAATTTCTGTCGATTACCCTTTCTCTGCCGTCACAATAAGTAAACCCCAGCAAAAATGAGCCAATCAATGGGCATGCTCTGGAGTGCGGGTAACTAATACCTGCACTCCAGTTAACGCACGGTGCATGTATATGTACATGTATACGATTTAACTCGGACACATTTTCAACAGAAAGGTCCCCAAAATATGATACAATATTTTTAATGCATGTAGGCAAGGAATTCCTAGAGATTAAGTTTTGCCACCAGTTTAGAGCCAACAGTCTTGACTAGATTCAAATTTTCATCTTGATATCCCCTAACTTGATAATATATACACGTGTTTTAAAGAAACTCTGCAAGCTATGGGTTAAATTAATTGAATACAATGTACTTTCAAAGTTGACAAAACCCATTTGCATTTCATTTTATTTTGAGTCAGATGGTATTGTTTCATTTTTCCACTAACATACATATAAAAACACTTGAATATTCTACAAAATCTATGTTTTTATCCTAACTGCCTGTTCTTAAAGAACAATAGTCAAATAACAAACATTTCAAAATCGGTCCCGTGTCCCACAATTTTGATCGCATATATTTACGGAGAATCCCCAAATATTGAAACATGCAAGAACCGCTTTATTAAACTTCTTCGGTTGATAAATTTAGCGTATTTTAATAACCTCTTCTTGAGGGTGGATAACATTTTTATTTCAATCAAGTTGACCCTTAGATATATCAATTTAAATTATTGAATTTGATAGTTTGTTCAGTTTCACATTGGATTGCTGTCATTCTGTTAGTTATTTCTTAAGTATTGATCACATTTCAAGTCATAAAGTTATTTGAATTTTTGGCTTAATGAAGAATAATGAATAAAATCAGTTACTGTGACATACCTGTGATATTGAGGATACTGCGAGAAAGTCTCCTGTATTTGTATTTGTACCACTGGTGGTTAGAGTTGTATATTCTAAAGCAGCACAACTGAAAATAAATACATAAATACGACAATAAATCCACAAACAAACAAAAACAAGAAAATGACCATCCAGAAACTTAAAAAAATCCCTTAAGTGGACTTATTATTTGAATAGTTACTGATGTCATTAGATTTGTACTTACCATTCATTACAGAAAATGTTAGAAACTGAAAATGTTTTAATAACATTTAGAAAAAATATGAAAATTCATTTTAAAGTTCAGCGTTTTCAATGTACAAACAACTGTTTATATAGGACCATATAACCTGTTAAAAATCTTCATAAAAACTAATGATATAGTTCCCACGAAATACACCCGTAACAAGTGACCAGTCTCATAATGTAGAACATTAACATCAGAATCCTATTCATTTTGACTAAATAGTCCATACAAATATTTCCACGGTAAAAAACATCAGTATCAAGTCATACTAAAATAGAGACATGCTCCAAACAAAAAAAAAACTTGTCATTCTTTACCTAGAATATGCTGATAAAACTCAGTTCCATGAGTCCCATGATTCTGAACATTTTTGGACTATTTCCTCATTTCTTCTTACTGTACTTATAATGGTCAATTTACACATTTTCATATATTGACTATATTATGAATCTGACCCTGACCATGGCCACAAAAAACCTGAACTTTGCGCACTTAACTCCGCCTCACAAGGGTGAACATATGGCCAAGTTACATCGAAATCCCTCAATGCATGTAGAAGTTTTTTCTCCGACAAGTATTTTCCACTTTTGATCTAGAGACGTTGTATGTGTTAAAATAAATATCTGTATCAAGTTATACTAAAATCGATCCATGCAAGTTGAAGATATTCTCCGGACAGAGTCTGGACATTTCATCACCTCTTGTGACCTTGAAATTGAATGTTTGGACCTTTATTATGCTGGAAACATTCAGTTTCGTGAAAGTTATCATTTGTGACTTTTGACATTTGTGTTCCATTTTCCAGACTTCTAACTGGCAAAGAGGCACATTTTATCTGACATTTGACCTCTGCATGTGACATTGGCCTCAGTTACAGGGGTCTGAATGCAACATTTCAGGAGTCCATGACAATGGTGAAAATTCATGGCCAAGTTATTGGTATATTGACTATATATTCCTCAATGCATATGTAAGTTTTGCTCCTAACGACCTCGAAGTTTGACTTTAACATTTGATTTAGAGACTGGTAATTGTGCAAGACACTTCGTATCATAGTTTGGAACGTAGGTAGCAAGTAATACATGTACTAATATCCATTCATGCACTTAATATATAACCTCCTGTCAAAGTCTGGACAATTACTTTGACATGGACTCAGTGTTCGATTGTGAATATTTGCGTTATAACCTTATTCAAGACTACTTAATTGTCCGTACACAATTTTCATTCCATATTTTGATTTAATATTTGAGCCCTGGTACTGACCTTGATTTCTGCTATGGCACTGACTTTTGCACCGACACTACTCTATACAATAGTGGATATTTGTGCAAAGTTCCATTGAAAACTTAAGGTTTCAGGTTTGTAAAAAACTCATCCACTTCCTGCATACCGACTTATTTAAATTTTCAACATGAATGTCCTATGGTAGGAAATTATGGTGACAGTTTTCTTAGCAACTACTTATCACAGCCTCTTGATATTTGGTATACAGCAGTAACACATATGGTCCCATACATAGGAATTCGATTTTAGGTCTGTCTGTTTACCTACTTAGTTATATTTTCAACATTAATAGTGAATGGTAGGAAGTTTTCGAAACATTTATGTAAAATTCAATCCTTTTTTTGAGAAGATCCAAATGTGACCCACGACGGAAAGAATATCTCGATGAAGGCTGCATAGAAATCCAAAACAAAAATGAGTTATAGAGAGGAGAGTCAGGAGGGTAGAATCACATTTCGATTTTCTTTAAAAAAAAAAAAAGGATTGAATTTTACATAAATGTTTAAAAAGGTGAAAACTTTACCTGCGATTGACCTATTTGTACAGTCACATCTGGTGTTATGCTTCACATCTGGTGCAGCGGAAATTCACATATAATTTTAACCGATGTTCATTTTTGAGATAGATATGGGGTTCCATCCCCGTTCATATTTTGGTATTCGATTTTAGGTCTGTCGCTCACCCGCTTCCTGTTTACCGACTTTGTTAAATTTTAGACATTTTTTTTTCAACATAAATGCTGAATGGTAGAAAAATTTCATAACATCACAGCCTCATGATATTTGGTATACAAATGTAAGCCGACCATTTCTGTTTTTGACCCTAATTTTTATATAGGTTTAGTGGTGCAAACTTTCATATCATTCAATCCGGTTTTTTCCAGAGTAAATATTTTAATTATGAAAATTGACCCAACGCGATACCAATACAGAATAGTAGAAAAAATACGATTTTCAATTTATTTGAGTATATTCATTTTTTACATTTATTTTTTATTTTAAGCGCTTCAGGTGATCTATGTTAGAAATTCAAATTTTATGTTTTAGGCTTTTGGACTTCAGTGGGCTTTATTTATATAATGTTTTTGCTCCTGTTTTTGTATATATGCAAACTGAGCTGATATCAATAAACGAAACGAAACGAAGTTTCTTTAATACCACCTATCTGGAGTTATGCTCTGGGGGAAAATAATTATGAAATACTAGATTTACAAACGGCAATAATGCAAAAAAATGTAAAAAAAAGGAGTCACGATTTTTCAATTACTACACCTATATTGATATTGATATTGAATAACAATGTACCTAAAATACTTTTAAAATTAAACTCTGAAAAAAATGAAAAATACATAAGGCAATAATTTCAAAATTATGCACCAAATTATGCACAAAAAGAGTTATGGTTGTTAAATAACTGCACTTATCCACAATGAGAAATACATGTATTCGCTTATAATGTTTCAAATTGATCTCTCCAATACTATTTATCTTTAGCAAAAACAAACGGACGGACGGACGGACAAGCTGTTACCCCTTCCCTCACCCTCACAACGTTCGTTTTGCGGGGGGGGGGGGGTATGATAATCATGTAGATTGAATGACATGTACATACAATTTAGAAAAATAAGTAAATTTACCTATGATAATGTTCCTCAATGTTGTCACAAAACACCTTGATACCGACGGAGAGAATACATGCTGTTACCAGGGTCATAATGCATGAAATAGCATTTAGCGGAATAAATGGTACTGTCCACATTCCTTTTCTGAAATTTTTTTTTACAAATGTCAAAGATATTTATTTCACATTTAAATTACAATGCTTCAGTTATAATCAAATGACATGCGCATTTTTTTGGTAAAACGGCAGAACAGGTTAAAAGACATGCCGTCGAACATCAGGCTCCATTGATGTCACAGTTTGATAGTAGAAAAAAGCCTTATTCAGCAAAAACCAATATGCGGACTCATATCTGCCCCGGATCATAAGCTTTTATTATAAAATAAGAAAGGGAAGTAAGAAGTCTATATTTAAGGCACAGTTTTGAAATAATGGGACAGACCATACACACTTTTATCAGACATGAATGTAACAAATATAATTGTTAAGTATTCATTTACATTAAATCATTTCATGACAGCTTAGCCATATGCACATGATTTATTCTGAATTTTTGTGATGATGATGATAATGATGATGATGATGATGATGATAACTTACCCAACATCTTTATCTGATCTTGACTTATACGTAAAATAGCCAAAACAAACACCAGCTAATAATCCAAAGATAATCATTCCAAAAATGCCAAAGTAAATTGGAAAATCGCAATTAGAAGCCGCACTTCCAGATATCAAGTTGCCATATGCATCACCGTACAAGATGCACATGTCGCCAAATCTTGTCTGAAAAACAACAACAATAAGCATGCAAAAGTGATTTTTGCGTTTGTAAATTAAGTATGAAATCCTATTTCTATGTAGCGGCTTTGGGAATGATTTTAAGATATACAAGGATCAAAACTTGAATATGGCATGTTTTAAACTGATGGAAAAATTAATGATAGCGGAGCTGAAAAGCAAATTACAGAAATTACCAGTGGTGTCCAGGTCGACAACTAATAACTAACCAGCGAATCCATATAATTATTTCACAAGCGAAATGAAAATAATAGAATTACAAACCGGTTCTATACTGGTTCAAAGTAATTTATTTGTGGTCTAGTTATTACAGTACATGATTCATATGAACTATGAATTTAGGACCTGTAAAGACGAATTTATTTCATTCAACATCGGTCTTAAATAGTGATTATAAAGTGTGGTTGTTTTAAATGCAGGCCTCGTATCAGACTTATTTATTGAGAAATTGACTCTGGTGGTCAGTGAATTAAAAAAAAATGAGAACAACTCTAACCAGGTCTTTATTTTATTTTTATTTTATTATAAGACAGAGCAATATCGGGACTGAACTCATTGGAAACGTTTAAAGTATTGCTACTACTTATGACTTCCTCAATCGACATACCAAAACATACATTGTACTTACTCGATTTATTCCAACTGGAACACATACAAGAAAACCAGATACGAAAATACAGAAGTACAGAGATGCTTGTAGAAATAATAAACAGTCCATGTCGTCTTCGTTATAAAGTTGCTGTAACTGCAATTCAACGTCTAACTGAAATAATTTAAGTGTTTTTTTTACCTTCTACTTTATATATTCAGCAATGCGTTCAATATCAAAGCATTTCATATTAACATTGCATTTTAGTATGATTTTACATATTTTTAACTACAGGGTTGACATCCAGCTAGCTTACGGAAGTCTGTATTTTTTCATCAAGTTTATAATAATGTTCTGTTGTTTGCATGCTTATTATTGGGAAATAAATGGGTAGCCTATGGTTACTGAGATTTAAAAAAAATAATCAAAGGGCTGCGAGCTCTGTTGTATTTTCTGATCTTTGCAATCTAAATCGTACTGTATATCTGCATGTATTTTCCTGTATAAGTTTATTTTGAAATACTTAAATTCATCTTGCAGGGCACCGAGTTGCAGCGACTGCGTTTAGATTTTTTGCTATAACAGTTCGAATTTGATACATACGGAATTTTGCACGACAAGAGTTCCTACTTGCATCATGAAATCATTTTATCCTTGCATATCCTGGCTAATTTAAAAAACAAACAAACCAAAACACAGGTGCCACGACTGGGATTTGAACACTAGACCTCTCACAGTGTCAACGAGCGTGCAACCCATCGGCCACGGTGATGTTATATATAATTAGACTGAATAAAACCATATATTATTCTAAATTTAGAATTTCAATTTATGGTTTCTAATTCTTATTAATTTCTAGGTAAACCTGTTGTTTAATGCTGATGTTAATGTTTTGGCGAAAATCTTCTCGGCCAAACAGTCCGACATGTATAAATTTCACTACTCGACAGTCAGATTTATTTGTGTGATACGCGCAGTAAAAGTCCTCGCTAATCGACAGCGATAAAATAGCATCTTGTTTACGTGGATTTAATGATCGGGTGCTTAACTTATGATAGAAATTGATTATCGATCGTCGACTTCCCTAAATTCGTCTCTGTCATAGAGTCAACATCCTTACTTTATTTTTCAGAAATTCAAATTTAGGGGCGTTTAATTCCGATAACAATAATCCGAAGCTTTACGGAAATAGCCGAGCCATTTTCATTGATTAGAATGATATTCATCCGCGTATTTTGTTTTTTGTGCATTTATTGACAATTCTATAAGCTAAAGCTACTTTTAAACTTTAAATGCGTGGTTATTTGATTGATATTTGTAACAAAATAAAAATATTTCTTTCTGTAACATCGCTAGTTTTAAGCTGTTTTCAGAACTATTTGTTGTTAGGTTTGTCGGGAAAAACTGTGTCAGCATTGTATTTCCTGATCTGCGATCAAAAAATACAAAAAATGGTTTGTTACATGTTTTGAAAATTTGCATGTATTACACACTACACAGTAATCATTTCAGCGCACAATACATACAAATTACTTCGGAAACGGGAAATTATTTTAAATTAGACCGGAAAGATAACATACTATGAACAATGTCATTACTCATTCAATGCAGACATACAACCAACTTAAAACATCGATTAAAACAGCATGGGAATATATACATTAATAATCACATTCAGTGGCGTATTTTTCTCAAAAATGAACTAGTAATGAGTCCATAGGACACGGGTGCCCCCACCGCGCCACTGTTCTGTCAATCTTATGACTCTAGGTCAAATATTTTTTGAAAACTAAAAATCTTTTACTTAGTAAAGGGCAAGAACTTTACAAATACTGAATAAATCCACAAGCAAACCCTAAGGTGCATAAGTACACATGCTGACCAACATGATGGTAAACTTTCAGGCCTACAAGTGAAATACGTTTTGAGCTATGCATGAACAAGTTGAAAATTGCAAATTTATACTACTGTAAGTTAAGGGCAATAACTCTAACAAAACTGAAAAAAAATCCACATGCAAAGTCCCAGGTGCATAGCTTCACAGTGATGTGAATCATTATTCCTGTAATTTAGTGATGTTGATCATTATTCCTGTAAAGTTGGTTGATTCTAACTCAAGCACTCAAGGAACAAATAACAACATAATGAAACGGTTTTTACTAAGTCAAGGGAAATAACTCTACAAATACTGGATAAATCCACAAGCGAAACCCCAGGTGCAAAACTAAATATGCTGAGCAACATTCCCGTAAGGTTTAATGACTTTATGTCAAATCCTTTTTGAGTTACATGCGACACAAGTTGAAAATTGCAAAAAAATTCTAAGTCAAGGACAATAACTCTTAAAATACTAAATAAATCCAGACGAAAATACCCAGGTGCACAACTACACATGCTGATCAATATTCTTGTAAAGTTTCATAACTTTATGTCAAATCCTTTTTAGTTACATGCGACACAAGTTAAAAAATTCAAAATTTTACTAAGTCAAGGGCAATTACTCAAAAATACTAAATAAATCCAGACGAAATACCCAGGTGCACAACTACACATGCTGATACATATTCTTGTAAAGTTTCATGACTCTAGGTAAAATAATTTTTGAGTAACATGCGACACAAGTTGAAAATTGCAAAATTTTACTAAGTCAAGGGCAATAACTCTAAAAATACTAAAAATATCCAGACGAAAATACCCAGGTGCACAACTACATATGCTGATCAGTCAATGTCAGGTCCGTGATCGTGAGGGGGAATTTTTAAACAATCGTCTTTTCCATGCATTTTTATGACATTCTTGGCCACAAAGCTATAAAGGAGCCTAAAACTGTTTTATATGATTTTCTAATTTTTTCCTTTTTCTATTGTGACAAGGTTCATAACTCTAGCACCAATATTGCAAAAATTATCTCCCCATGAACTTAGATTTTTTTTACTTGGAAAATGTTATTTTTACTTTAACTTCTTTAGTTTTAAAGGTATCTTCCTCAAACTTCAACATTCCTTATCATCAACCACATCTTATATGAAAAGGTTCATAACTAAAGAAATATTTTCAGACTTTAAATATCTCCCTTTGAACTTAGAATTTTCTATAAGAAATATAATAACTTTTTTACTTTTTAAGTTATCAAATGCATATTCCTTATCATCAACCACATCTTATGTGACAAGGTTCTTAACTCTTGAAGCAATATTTTCAGATTTATCACCTTTTGAATTTAGAATTTTCTTTAAGAAATATAATAACTTCTTTACTTTTTAAGGTATTTACTTCAAACTTCAAATATATATTTCTTATCATTACACACGTTGTGTGACAAGGTTCATAACTCCAGTATGACTATTTCCAGAATTATTCCCCTTTGAACTTGGAATTTATGTTCACAAATGTTGTTTTTTTACCATATGGATAAGACTTAGAGTTATAAAACGCAAGCTCCTGTTTCCCACAATTATCAACATATAATGTTTGAACTTAGAATTCATTTGTAAATTGATTTTTGAGTATTATCTTTGTTTTTATAAATGGTATTACTCTAGACTTCAGATAAAGACTTGTGATCTTTGCTTCTCGTATTCTTTCGAACAACTGTCTCAACATTTTTATATGTCTCTCCCATGTAACCGTATGTCCAAGCACATCGTCAACATAGTTATCAGTATCATTCACTCCGGAAAGCAACTTCCGCATCATTCTATTAAATGTTGCACCAGAATTGACCATTCCAAATGGCATCTTTCTGAATTGGTAACTACCTTCTGTTGTAGAAAATGCTGTGAGATGTCTTGATTTTGCTTCAATTGGTATTTGCCAAAAACCTTTGGTCAAATCAATTTTCGTGAAGAACTTATCTTCTTTTAGCTTTGCCATCACATCCTCAACATTACCCATTGGTTCTGTATCAAACTTTGTTACAGAGTTGAGTCGTCTGAAGTCAATAAAAAAGCGGTTTGTATTATCCTTTTTCTTCACCAAAACAATTGGAGAATTATAATCAGAATTTGCTGGTTCAATGATACTACATTCAAGCATTTTCTTAATTTCATCCTCTACCGCTGTCCTTTTTGCATATGGTATCGTATACTGCCTCACACGAATTGATGTTTTGTCAGTCAACTCAATCTTGTGAGATTCAAGAGCTGTAGTTCCAGGAATATCAGTTAAAATATCCTCAAATTCTTGAAGCAACGCATTAACTTCTGATTTTTGTTCAAGTGTTAATTGATCATTAACATTAACATCTCTGTACGTCTCTTCACCCTGTGTGTCTACTAGTTCTAAAAGATTTTCATCATCAACTACCCCAGTATCATCATCATTTTCGGCCTCTATTACAGCTACACTCGCACAAATTCTATCTTCTCTTTCTTCGTATTTCTTCAGAAGATTAATGTGGAACATCCCAATTCTATCACCTACTTTAACTTTGTAATCAAACTTGTTAACTGCTTCACTTACAACAAATGGACCTTTCCATTGTAACATCAGTTTATTGTGTGTTGAAGGCAGGAGCAATAAAACTTTGTCTCCTTTCTTAAGACTTCTTGGTCGTGTTTTCTTATCATAATGATGTTTATACTCTTCTTGTGAGTTGCTGAGATTCTCTCTAGCAATCTTGCATGTTTGTTCTAATCTATTTCTCAAATCTAGTACGTACTCATACGTATTACGTGTCTTTGGTACTTCTGTCTCTGTCCATAATTCTTTTAGTGCTTGCCTGGGACCTCTAACAGTTCTTCCATATAGAAGTTCAAATGGTGAGAACCCTGTACTTGACTGAGAGACTTCTCTGTATGCAAAGAGAACCGCAGACAAATGTCTATCCCAATCCTTAGGTCTTTCTTGGCACATTTTCTTCAACATGCTTTTTAAAATACCATTCATTCTCTCACAAAGACCATTACATTTTGGATTGTAAGGGGTAGTAAACAACTGTTTCAGTGATACAAGTCTACAAACTTCTTCCATAAGTTGTGACGTGAACTGACTACCCCTATCACTAAGTATTTCCGATGGGAAACCTACTCTTGCAAAAATATCTAACAATGCTTCAGCTATATTTTCAGTCTCAATTCTTGGTAAAGCAACAGCTTCTGGGTAACGTGTAGCATAATCAACTACAGTTATTATGTACCTACTTCCTTTTTCCGATACAGGCGTTATTGGCCCTA